TATTTTTTATCTTATTTCATGACTGAAAAGAAATTGCAGTGTTTGTGGTGTGAAACATGGCTTTATTAATCCTAGTAAAAGGAGTTATCAGACTGTCCGTCATTGCTTTGAGCATACAAAGAATCGATGGCTATGCACACTAGACAGTTTATTCTTTTCTTTGCCAGACCCAACCTCCTATCTCCCTGATTGCAGTGAAAAGGTCAGCTTTAGAGCATTTAAAAGTACTTTCTAGACAGTCATAGCAGTGACTTCAGGGCTGATGTTTTTGTAACCAAAAGAAAAGCTCAGACCTTATTCTGGAGTGACCTCGTGTCTGGACCTAAAAGCCCTGGTGTTTTTCCCAGATGGGATTGCGCGTTCCCGCAGTCGTCGATGTGGTGCTCGGAGAAGGGAATCTATAGCTGCCGAAGGTGCTCCTCGGGCACGGATCCTTCTTCCCCGGATTAAAGTCTAACGGGATTATTCTGCATAATTAGATTACCCCTTAGCCCACTGCCAGTAGTTCTGGAACTATGAGCTGGATTGCCATTTGCAAGCGTGGAAAGGCTTTGGAAAATGACTGAAAGAAAGAAGAGGGACAAGGGGAGAGAGGTGTCGTACTCCAGGGAGAGAGCCAGGGATGTATTAGACCACAGCATTGCCTGGTCCATGGCAGGTAAAGATGTCCTGTATGTTTTAGCAGTATGTACTGCAATTTGAGTTTAATTTGTTTTTATGTCAATCTCAATATGAAGTGGGAAAAATGCCTTATACTGTAGTTAAAATAAGCAGCTTGGAGATTAGGAAGTAAAGACAGGTCTTTTGCCTGTTGGCAAAATATATTAGAGAGCTTTTGAGTCATACTCTTTGGTTTTCATCCTAAGTGCTTCTCACACAATAGGGGACCCACTTAATCCCCACTGAAGTGCCGAACCACCTGAGTGCATCTGCAGAACCACGACACACAGATCAGGGGAGGAGAGAGAAACTGTATAAGACCAGAGTGGGGTTCAGTCTTCCTGCAGCCCCACAGCACACAGATCAGGGGAGTATAGAGAAACTGTACAAGACCAGAGTGGGGTTCAGTCCTCCTGCAGCCCCATAGCACACAGATCAGGGGAGGAGAGAGAAACTGTACCAGACCAGAGTGGGGTTCAGTCCTCCTGCAGCCCCACGACACACAGATCAGGGGAGGAGAGAGAAACTGCTTCATCAGCTGAATTAAGCTGTGATGTCAGAGAGGACAGGTCAGGGGATGAAGGTCACTGTTATCACAAGAAGGTTTTGCTGTCAACAGAAGTGACAGGATGCAGGATGCAGAGAAATCAGACTGGAACAGAAAAACCTGACAGGAGGCAAGAGAGATGCAAGTGAAGTTCATGTTGGGACATCTTCAGATCCTCTTGGGATCAGAGGAAGCCCTGAATTATAGATGATTATGAAATCCCACTTGATCTCAGCAGGCAAGGCCTTTTAAAGCAGCTAGGAGAGAAAGCATCCCTCCTGATGCCTGCGTGTGTTTGACCGTGTGCTCTCGTTAAGAAAGAAACAGAGGTTGCTGTTTTTTCCTGTCCTGACAGTGAGAGTGTGGACCCTGTGGGCACGTGCCTTTCTCTGAAGACCGTTCCAGCAGTCTCTGCCCTGGTCCTGCCTGGAGACCAGACAGAATGTTTATTGATTTTGTGCTTTGCTCTGCTCAGCATCCTCTGAGGAGGGAGTTACAGTATATTCCTGGCAGGAAGAATTATTAGACTGTAAAGACTGGAAATCAGCACCTAAACAGCAAGTATCCTGGCTTCATTGCCAAGTGTTATTTTGTGCACAGATTTCTCATTAGAGTCATGACCCTCTCGCCAGCTCAGTTGTGTGTGGTTTTTTCATCTTTGTGTAATACAGAAACTACCCACTCTTACATCCATTTTCTAAAAGCTTTATCCAGTACAGGGCTGGGGGGGAGGGGGGGGGGGTTATGCAGGCAGAGCAATGGGTGTAAATTAGGTTTTTAGGTAATTAGGTAAATTAGTTAGACCCTGGATGGGACGCTAGTCCATCACAGGGTGGACATACACAGAGACTCTCACACCAGGGCCTGTTAAACTCCAATTAACCTATCGGTATGTCTTTGGACTGTGGGAGGAAAACAGTGCACCCAGAGGAACCCCACGCAAACTTGGGGAGAACATGCAAACTCCACATAGACAGCTCCCCAGGTCTGGAATTCAACCCAGGGCCCCAGCACAGCAAGGCAGCAATTTCAACCGCTGTGCCACTGTGCCGCCCAACAGGCAAGACGAGAAAGACAAAAAAAAAAAACAATGCAAAATTATCACCTAGAAATAGAAGTTAACAGCTTGGAAGAAAAAAATGACATATTGAAATTCAGAAAGCACCATTCGAAATCCTCCCAGACTGTGCGCTTGCGGTGTGCTCGGATGTGTAGGTAAGCTCTGCTTCATCCTCGCAGATGCATTTTGCTTTCCCAGTGTGACTCGCACCCGTAGCACCGTGAGACTCACAGCTTAGTCAGCACATTGAAGATCTGGCCCATTAAAATGCTGAGGAAGAAAGGGCCTGTGACATCATTCTGAGCCATACGAGCGAGTTAAGGCTCAATACAGAGTCTCCTGCCACCCCTGCAGCTAGACAGTATGGTCCCGAGATGGGATTATTAAAGCACCTGAATTTCTCCACCAAGCAGGATGTTATAAGCTCCCGGAGAACGGTTCTCTTTAATAAGACTGCTGTGTTTTTCTTTTCTTGTCTGCGATAGTGGATCTTTTAGTTCCATTGACAAGTTTTGAAAGCAGTGTGGGCCTCATCTTCTGATGCAGCTAATGCAACGTTTCAGAACTTTGATGCGGGCTCTACCAAGAAAAGGTTCATTTTCTGTATGCGTGCCACTCTATTACAATTAGCTTCACAAGGCCACCTGTCCGAAATCAGGATTTTAATTATTTTCCTGATGTGATTCTGGGTGGTTTGTTGTCTAATCTCTTGCACTGACACCGTGGCCTTAATTAGAGAGCGTTCGACTAAGCAGACAGCTTGAAACAGCATGGTTACTGTCAGCAGTTACCTTCAGTGTCCTTAAGAAATTAATCCAGTACAGCAATACTGGAAATGCTTTAAGGTGTGTGGCAAGCAGAGGATATTTCTTGTATAGCCGTGAAATATCTGCAGCTCGGAGCCACTCAGACACACAGAAATGGTGGAGTTATAACCTGGGACTATCATTATCATATGGAAAAGAGCTTCTGCTTATTCTGAATCACAAATGTCCAATTACTTACTCTTTGGCTAGAAATGCCTTTTTTGATCTTTTTCCTCCGTGTCAAAGCAAGCCTGGAGATTTTGTGAAGATGCTGGGGGGCCTGGACCTGATTGCTTCTCCAGTTGGCGTGGGACCTGGTTTTGATATCTCGTTATCAGCAGAGGGTGCCCAGATGTATTTAAGCACAGTGCATGGAAAAATGGCCTCTGTCTCATGTCTCCTCTGCTATTTTAATTGCTCTGATATGGTCATAGAACAGGGATGGGCAACTCCAGTCCTACAGTGGCTAAAGGGTCCTCTGTTTCTTGTTCCAGTTTGTTCTGAACGACGTCATCGCCGTTATTACGTGGATAAGAAGCCAGACCCCTTGTGCTTTCAGGTCTTCATCAGTTGCTAGTCGAAACACACCTGTAGGACCAGCAGGACTGAAGCCCCTAATCTTAGGGGCAGGTGGATGGATAATGGAACACTTTTAAACTTTTTTGGTTTCAGTTACAGATAAGATGTTGTGTTAGGAGAGAATATTTTTTCTGTAATACTAAATCGCGTTTTTAGTTTAAATACACAAGGGGCCACAAAAAAAGCACTGAAACTAACTACTGTATCTCCTCTCAATATTTTTTACATTGCAGTTACGGTGATCACATTCTTGTATCCCTGGCAATCATAATACATAAACTAACTTTGATTTTCTGTACACAAAAGGGAAAATAAGAATAATTGACAAACAGCCAGAGCTAATAAAAATTCCTTCCCTCACCAGCGTTCCGATCAATAAATAGGCAGATCGATGGACAGTTGTAAATGGTAAAGCAAGTTACGTTCCTGCATCTTCTTCCCCACGAGAGAAGGCTTGACAAAAAGAAATGCTTCCCAGCAGCCCCAGCAGAAGGAACTGTCCATTTTCATTTATTATTCATGCGTTTCAGCAGGCAGCCCCGGTAGGCTGGCAGTGTGTACCTGAGGCCTTTCGTTAAGGTTTCCAGAATGGGTATTGAAGTGACTCTCGCCAGGCCTTAACAGCAGCCATAGCGCCTCAGATGTTCTTTTAGTTTCAGTCTATGAACAGGCTTTTCTCTCTCTCTCTCTTTCTAATCCCTTGTTTCTAAAAAAAAGCATTTCGTTTTGATGAGCAGATGGATGAAAGCCGGGGTGGGCAAGCCCTATGCTGGAGGGCCTGTTGGTGTGTTTGCAGGTCTTCCGGGTCTCCCTCAAGCAGCAGCACCTGAAGAGCTGGGAGAGCTTGATAAATAGGAACCATTAAGCCAATAATGAGCCCATCTAGGGTAAGAGCCCGGTTGGAATGAAAACCTGCACCGGC